TATGAGTACTTACATACCCAGAGGGCATGAGTATAACTGCTAATGTTGGTAATCAAGCGAGTATGAGCTCGGGTACGAGGATTTTTTTCAACCACATGCATGGGGATGGGTACTATAGTACCCTGTCCATTGTCATCCCAACATGGTGCAATATTTTAGGGGGGGGGGGGGGAGGGGGATAAAAAGGAAATCCTTAATCATGCTTTACTTAATGCTCAAGCCGACTCAATTCCAATGCAAGTTTGCAAGTTACCAAGCATTAAAAAGGGAGATATTGAAGTTGTTCTACCTTATATGTTTTTAATTTTGCTACTTGTCCCATTTATTATCGTTTATCATTTGTCTCTTTTGTAAATGAGTATCCTCTAAGTTAGATTTTTACGCATATATTAGAATTGAGCGTAATTATTTAAATTGAGGTTTAACATGCATTAAATCAAACCCTTAGGTAAAAGTCGATGCAATATGGTTCAAGTCAATTTAGTTAAATATTTGGGTCAAGAAACACATGAATACTAGATTCTTATCATACTAGCTTTAAATTCAATCTTACACATCAATTTACTTAAAAAAAATCAATTTTTAAAAGTGTGATTCGAATCAAAGTTATGCACGATTCAAATCAAAATGAATGTGAAAATTCAGAATTTGCCTCTACTAGTTTGATTCAAGTCACAAAAGACATGATTCAATTCATGACATTGTTTACTCGAATTGCAGAAAATCTTAATTCAAATCATGACATAATTGACTCGAATCACATAAAAGATTGATTCCAATCATGACATTGTTGACTCGAATCACTAAAAAGCCTTATTCGAATCATCATTTAGATTCAAATTTTAATTTTAGTCTTCTGGTTGTGTGACTCGAATCAAGAATTTCTTCAACTTAAATCAAAGGTGTAGAAATATGAGTTTTAAGTTCTTTATTCAAAACATTTTTTATTCAACTCAAATCCTACTCATTGCTTTTGACTCAAATCAAAAGGTATTTTTACTCACTTTTAATTCTCTATCTTAAGCACATATACAAAGTATTTTGTGTCACTTATCAAACATAGATGTAATAACTATCGGGAGAACAACAAAAAAAATTCTACGCACGTGGAAGCGTATCCACAAAAAGAAAAAGAAGCAAATAATTCCAACAAAAACTCATAAAATCATAATTTAACTTTTAATTTTTACAAGGACAAAATTACAAACCCTCTCAACAAACTATTTTTGAATGAAAAAATTGCAAACCCTCTCAACAAACTATTTTTGAATGAAAAATTGCAAACCCTCTCAACAAACTATTTTTGAATGAAAAAATAGGAAACCCTCTCAACAAACTATTTTTGAATGAAAAAAATAGAAAACCCTCCCAACAAACTATTTTTGAATGAAAAAATAGGAAACCCTCTCAACAACCTATTTTTGAACGAAAAAATAGAAAACTCTCTCTAAACACACAACTATCCAAATCTCCAATACAATGAATACCTTTTTGTCTTCTTCCTTTCTTGATCAGAATAATTGTTACTCTTCCTTCCTTGATTGAAACCTTAACTCTAATTGTTGACAAAATAACAACAACAAAAAATTATTCTACCCACGCGGAAGTGTACTCACAAAAAGAAAAAGAAGCAAATAATTTCAACAAAAATTCATAAAATCATAATTCAACTTGTAATTTTTAGAAGGACAAAATTACAAACCCTCGCCCAATTGTAGTTTTTGGACGGAAAAATTGCAAACTCTCTCCCAATAGCAATTTTTGAACGAAAAAATAGGAAACTCTTCCAACAATCTTTTTTTGAACAAAAAAATAGAAAACTCTCTCTAAACACACAACTACCAAAATCCCTAATACACCAAAAAGACTCTATTTTATTGTTGTGTAAAAAACTAAAACTAACTATCTCTATTTATATTAATACTCAAATTATATTTTTTTCTACTACCCGATGTGGGACTCGAATGAATATACTAATTGACCCAACAATAACATAATAACTTTGAAAGTTTTTAAAACAAAGAGTTTAGCTTTCAAAGCACACCAAATCACAATATTCTTTTGAATATGCATTCATCTTCAAAATTTAGCCTGATACCATGAATTGGTTGCTTCTCAATTCTTAGAGACAGGGAGATCTATCTTAAAAGATGGTATTTTACTATGGATGTTTGTGAAGTTATTAAGTTACACATCAAGATTAGTATTGTGTTGTGTTACTGAGAATTTACAATCCAACAGAAGCAAAAAGAAGGGATTTCTTCTCCACCAAAGACTTCGCTAGTGTCAAGAGAAGGTAGCTGCGAAACGATTTTCAGAGTTTTGATCCCGTTATATTGAATCATGATATTCGACAGAGGACCAATAGGATCAAGTAAAGATCACTACAGAACGAATGTTTGGGGTGGATCTTATATATGAGGAAGAAGACGATCAACAATGAGTGAAAGTCTTAGGATTTCAGCTTCATGATTTGTGTAAAATAGAAGAAGGAAAGATTCAAATTAAAATTTTTTTTTTTTAGCATCTGGTTCCTCGATTGTATAAAACGCACGTTGTAAAATTGTCAAAATAGTGGAGACTACGGATTTTCAATGGTTCTTCATTGGAGACTGAATTAGGCGCAACGCTAGGATGATCGTGCTAAACCAATATAAAATATGGTGCAATATTTTATTTCCCTATCTCTTTTAAATTTTTTGTATAATTACATTGTTTAGGTTTTTATCGCTTTCTTAAAAACCGTAGGTTGTTAGGCTTAAATTTCTTCATGGCAATTTGTTATATAAAGTTTAGGCATGGTAGTGATCTAGTAATTTGGATATTCTCTCTAGTAATTATGGAAGAAAAAACTCTTGTTGTTAGATTGATCATTCGATTAATCAAAATTAATTCAAACCTTGTGTGAAAATTGGATTGTGTTAATTGCTGTAGTGCTTATTTAAGCAACTTCATTTTTCTTAGTTGTTGTGATTTATAAAAATCTGAGTTAGAAATAATATTCATTCAATCGTATCTTTTATAAAACCTCCACTATATTTTGCTTCTGCTTGTTATCTGCTCATTTGGTTGAAAAATCTATTTTTTGAAGAAAATATTTTTAAGAGTGGTTTTAGGGGAACTATCTATACAACCCCTCTTTTTAGACCATTAGACACCTATTTTCTCCCAAATAAAGGGTACAAGTAGAGGATTATTGAGTGTTGGAGGTGTACGTGGGTGCATATGTGAGGTAAAAGTACTAGATCCAACAATATGAATATGCAAACCTTTATCATTTCCTACATAGATATGACTATAACCCTAAAAAGGTGAGTTATTGTAGATTGTGGGTATCAATAGTGACATGAAAAGAGACATCAGGATTGGAAACCAAGAAGTGAAGGAAGATGTCGTAACATTTGCAAGGAAGATCCTACAAAAACTATCAAGAATAGGAGACAATTTTGTATAAGCTTGACGTCTCATCCGTACATTATTGAGAAGAGGTTGTGGAGAAACATAGTTGAAAGAATTTTCATAACAAGTATGTCAATGTGATTCATTAACTGTAGTAATGGACAAACAAGGGATACTTCGACATAAGTAAGTGGTGACGATGACAGTGATGATAAAATCGTCACCGATCCTTCTTTTTTGCGCATGTGACTGACTAATAACATGTTTAGTATACAATATCATTTTTTTATATTATTTTATTCTCTTTTTCATCCACAATTATAAATGATATATTTATATACAAATAAGCTGTTACTACTCCATCTCTTATGAAAATTGAAATTAAAGAATTCATTTTTAACTTTGAATTATTTTTTATTATTATACATTGAATTAAACTAGTTCATTGAACAACTCCAATACTAGGGATATAAATGGATATCCATGGAGACGGATACTATGATATCCATATCCGCCCTTTTGGATAAATATGATATCCATATCTGCCCCATATCCATGTGGGTATCCGTTAAGCGGGTAATCCCTGGATATTTACAGATATCCATGGATAATATTTTTTTTATAAAAAATATTTTTAACTTCTTTTAAAGACACAAAAAGTTATTATCACATAACATCCACACAATTCGCTCTTAATTTAACAATAAATTTTCATCACATTAATTTTCTTCTTATTCATCAAAACATAATTAGATCCAAACATAATATCCATTAATTTCGTTTTTAACCAAACAAATAAAAGATGTTATGATTGTTAGTTATGACGGAAGATCGAACGACAAAGGAGTAGGAAGAGAGACATTAGTTCGATAGAAGAATGACGATACTAGTTGGTCGAACTGTGAAATTGATGAAGTGAAGTATGAAGTATTGAAGAGTCTAAATATAAAATGGCTAATATAATTTGAATGAAATGTAAAAGATTTTCTTCAAAGAAAATTAAAAAAAAAGAAATATAAGAAGACTATTTTAAAAAAAAGAAGATGAAACATAAGATATAATAAGCTAATGATATTTAAATAATTTTTATAATTTATTAAAAAATATGAATATCCGCGGACACGAATATCATTAAACTCGTATTCATATCTATTAACAAACAAATATTTAAATATCTATTTATTTTATCTATGAATATCCATTAAGCTACATGTTCCATATTCGTAATAAATTTTATTCAGAGATATTTGCAGGTATAATTTTTTTTACCATTCCTATCCAATACACTGCACCCAACTCCAATAAAAAAACACCAAACAATGAAATGAAAATGTGTTTTTAGACCAAACACAAAAAATTGAAACTTAGAACCAAAAAAAGGTTAGGTGAAAATGTTTGTTGATAGTCTCCATCCATATTCCTAGTCCTAACAATTACACACCACACCAAGTCAACATAAAGACAACAACTTTACAATTTAAAACACAAAAAAAACCCTGAAAAGTAAAAACCACATTAAAAGACAGTTTTTTTATTACTCTATCTCAATTCTCAACATCACAAAACCAAAAGATAACACAACACAACATCTTCAATCCAAAATGGAACCCAACCACCAACCATCATCGGAGAAAGAGAATCCCAACCAAAACCCGTCACCGGAAACCCCATTTCCGCCGTCAATAGCTTCTCTCTCCCTTTCTCTCTCATCAATCCTCCCTTTATTCCAACCCAAACTCCAATCTTTATTATCACCACCACAACCCAATAAGGTTAAAGTCCCAACCCAAGGTTCATCACTCACTCATCTTTCACTGTCCACAAAAACCCAATCTTCTCCTTCAAACAAAACTTCCTACAAATCCACTTTCTCTGCTAACCCTCTTAAATCACCGCTTTCTCTAGTTCCTAACCGTCCCAACGACCCTTCTTCTGCGGCCGCACTTCGTCGTGTTTCCATTGTTTGGTTCCGCAATGACCTCCGTGTTCATGATAACGAGTCTCTCAACACAGCCAATAACGAGTCACTCTCTGTTTTGCCGGTTTACTGTTTCGACCCTGTGGATTACGGTAAATCATCTTCTGGGTTTGACAAAACGGGTCCTTTTCGTGCTACTTTTTTGATAGAATCGGTTTCGGATCTTCGGAAGAGTCTTAAGGCAAGAGGGTCGGATCTAGTGGTGAGAGTTGGGAAGCCGGAAACCGTTTTGGTTGAATTGGCTAAGGAGGTTGGGGCGGATGCGGTTTATGCTCACAGAGAGGTTTCTCATGAGGAGGTGAAGATGGAGGAGAAGATTGAGGGTGTGATGGAGAAGGAGAGTGTGGAAGTTAAGTACTTTTGGGGAAGTACTTTGTATCATGTTGATGATTTGCCTTTCAATTTGGAGGATATGCCTTCGAATTACGGAGGTTTTAGGGATAGAGTTCAGAAATTGGAGGTGAGGAAAAGTATTGAAGCTTTGGATCAACTTAAGGGTCTTCCTTCTCGCGGAGATGTTCAGATTGGTGATATTCCTACTTTGATGGACCTTGGTCTTAATCCATCTGCCACAATGTCACAGGTGTTTTTCTTTCTAGTTTTGTAATTCACTGATTTTATATTTAGCTTGTTGTTTCTTTGATGCTGCATTGGCTCATTCTAAGGTATTGTTGTAAATGTATATCTAATGTTGTTATGGTTATTTATGTTTTGCTTCAATGCTAGTTAATAATTTCGGAAAATGAATTAATTGAATGTAATCACTTCTGTCGGTGTGTCATTGTCTGACACCGGATACACCTTCGATTAAAAATGTCAGTGGTATAGGGTTTTTAGTGACTTTTATTATTAGTTTTTATCTTTGATTTGATTGTATGTTGGCTTAGAAATGAATTAGGGTTGTGGAATTCAACAATCTATATTGGTTGTCAACATCGTGCAGGATGGGAAGGCAGGGCCTAATACTTCTATGGCAGGAGGGGAGACTGAAGCGCTACAGAGGCTTAAAAGATTTGCAGCTGAGTGCGTAGCTCAACCAAACAAGGGGTTTAAGGATGGGACACAAAGTATATATGGTGCCAACTTTTCGTGCAAAATTTCTCCTTGGTTGGCAATGGGATGCCTCTCTCCTCGCGAAATGTTTGATGAGCTGAAGAAAACTGCTAGCAGGTGCACTCCTAGATGTTTTTCTGTTTAGGAATATTAGGTACTTTTGTCGGGAATACTTGCTGATGAATTGATATATCTGATAGTGTTGTTTCCGCTTCATCAAGCCGAAATGGTGGTGGCAATGGCTCGTCCAAAACTGGAACTAATTGGTTGATGTATGAGTTGCTTTGGAGGGACTTCTTTAGGTAACTATTCTGGTCTTCTTACTTTGAAATTTTAGCCTTTTTTTCCTTTATTTTCTCTTCCTCAGTGAAAGGATGCATTTCTAAGTGAACAAAGTAATAAACATTTCAATAGAAAATCAAATTAGATTCTTACAACTTTGCATTTCGACCCATAACTTTACTCAATTGTAACTGGTGTTATCATTTTGATTTGTCCACCAGGTTTATTACCAAAAAGTACAGTTCTACAAAGAAACAACTCGAGGGTGCTCCTGCCGCTACTGCTTGTACGGGTGCACTTGCTTAAGCCGCAAGTTTCCAAGAGTTTGTTTCATGATGTTGATTACTTCCCCTTTTCACAAGTTCTGGTGTAACTAGCCATCACATTGTATCAATATGGAAGCTCTTTACATTATTTTTTGGATGACAACTTTTATTCTTTAATTATCATTTTGTCTGCATCAACCATGTTTTCTAACTAGATATTGGGTTCAAAATCTATGTCTCTTCCATAATAATGATACTTTGGGAGAACTCATGAGAGTATATCAAGTAATATATATATTTTTTAATAATATCAGGATGAGTTCTCAAATCTTTGTTTTAGTTGTGAATGAATATTCTTTGCTGCAATTGCTCAAATCTCCAAGATACAAGTGTTGAGGTTGAAGGTTCAAAACTCTTAACTCAAATAAATAGGGATATGGTAACCCTTAAAAACATTGTTACAAAATGTGTTAATAGTATCATCATGCAAAGGACTTAGCTCTGATTTGTAGTGAGAGATGCCTTGCCTCTTGCTCTTTTTTTCCTTCTAAAAGAATAAGCTTTTAATTCATTGATTGTAGTTAGATTCCTTACCAGAAATGAAAGAAACAGAAGATGAAACAGTTCCAATAAGAGATGTGCAACAACATTCTTACTTCTTCCAACATAAACCACCCTATTATTGGTTACTCGTGACAACAAATCAATACAGTCTAAAATTTCTTTATTAATTTAACTAACTTTAATTTGCTATAAGTAGGACACAATTTCAGCATCTAATTTAAGCACTTGAAAACGATAACTCTGACATGAAGTCGGTCATATACAATAGTTTGCTTAGTTCCTTTAGCGGGAGAAGTTTTATTCAACATAAATTGTATAGTTCCTAAAAAAGAAAAACTTAACAAAAAATGTGTATGAAATACATCAAAATAGAAGGGAAAAAAACTTAAATGCTAAGGAAGATGATGACAACTGGGGGCATTCCTCCATATAACAATGAACATAATGCAACAATGAACAATGGATAAGGGTCTGTATGATAAATTAAAGGACTGCAAATGTTTCCGAAATACAATTCTAAAAGAATCCGGAAACCTTAAGTGAAGATAGTACAACAAAAATCAACCACAGCAGCATGAAAAATGCACATGTAATCCATGCCCAAAGCCTTGGTCCTCCAAGCTCTGCACCAAAAGCTATACGCCTAGCAACCAAAACTGAGATACATCCAACAGAAGTGGCGAAAAACACAATCAATGAAAAACTAAGTCCCCCCGCATTCTGGATTCGGAGAGGTTCTCTATATGCTATGTAGTTGTACAAAGTATCTATAAGCCATGGAACACCAATGCCAACGTATATATTTACTGAATTGCTGCAGAAATAATCAATGATTAAGTTAATTTGAGCTCATTCACTCTATAAAGCTTCTTCATAGAACAAGGATTTGGCAGGCCAATAAAATAACCTAACTACAGAATTCATATGGGTATAAAATGAAAAGGGACGAAGTCTCACACCATATTATGAAATTTGATTCTAAAATCCTAGGAAATAATTTTTTCTAGGTATTTAGAATTCATAGTTGACATTTTTACGGTGACCCGAAAAATCAAAAGCTGCATTCCATGAATTTTGTTATTAATATTCTTTAAGAAATGATTTTAGTAAAAACATGATTTAATGATGACATGTAGCCATATCCAAAAGCAAGAATGAGATGTAAATTGAGATGAAGACCTGCAAGTGATGTTTGCAATTGCGGAATCTGCTGTTTTTTGACGTTCAGCAGCAATTTTGCTCGCCACTAAATCAGGCCATGAGGTTCCACTGGCTAGTGCTGTAAATGCTATGACGTAAGCATTTATTCCTGTTAAAGAGGTAAAGAAGGATGAAAGAAGTAATTAACAAGGATACTTTAGATCTATAACGAAATGTAAAGTGGACTGGAATATCTTGAGTTAGAAGGAAAACCTGTGACACAACTTATAAGATCTGTTATCTTTGTCACAATATATGCTATCCCACTGATGAAAAGCAGAGAGCAGATGAAAGAAATCCATCCGTGAGCAATATGGCACGGGGGAACAAAAGCAAACATAAATCTCCATGGCAAAAGCAACAACTGCCAGAATATTTTAGCTATGCGGATATAGATATTGTTCATCTTTTTAGATTCTTGGCTCTCCACCTGTTGAAAAAAATTATAGACCAGCCATCATAAATTAATGATATATTGTTAGAATTCTCCTGCATAAGTACTCTTTATTAGTGAGCTAATGTACATAAACTAATGCATCTCTTTATTAAAGACATGAATTAGTAAATAGATTAATCAATTTTTTAATCCTTCCATTATGAATTTATAATTAAAATCAGCTTTTAGCTATCCATTCATAAACTAATGCATCTCTTCATTAACAAAGGATGGGCGTCAGTAAATTGCGCAATCATCCAAAGTGACTCCAAACATTGCAATGCATTTTTACATTGAATAAATCCTTTCATTAAACAACCTTCTATCTGAGTCCTAAATCCAACAATAAGGGCAAGGTTTAAATCAACATCTCAAATTTATAACTATGAAGAGCAATGATAGGGAGTTTCCTTATGAAATTTAACTTGACCAGTTACAAAATTCAAATTTACAATTTTCTATTACTAATTTCTTAGTGGGAATCATTATCACTAAACTGAATCACTAAAGTTGAAAAAATTGTTTACAACGAACTACTTTATAAGGAAATATGGCCTATCTGAAATTTAAAGGTACTAAACAAAGAATCGTTAAATAATATGCAATTTGTCCTGTAAACTCCATGAGGCCACTCATCTGCTTTGATTTGCAATCATATTAAATTTTAATTGATTTTCTAGTGAATTTGATAACAAGCAATCACATATTCATTTATTAAAGTAAATAATGTACCTAAAATCTCATCATAAGAGGCCTGCACTATATGCAGGCCTTCATATCCACAATGATAACTAAGCCACTTTAAGGTATTAGCAGTATTACAAACAATGTTAATGAAATGAATTTATCGTAAGACCTTGCTTTAAATAGTTCTGCTTATATTTTGGATTTTGAAGAGACCAACAGCACCAATTGATCTATATAGCCTCAATTAACAGGTAAGATTTGGCTTTGGTTGTCGTTACATTGAATCTATGATATCCGCATTTAATCTTAAAGACACACTAGCACTATAAATAACGTACCGTCAGGGCATCAACAAATTGCTGTCTCCATATAGTAAGCAAACCGGTATCCTCCAGCTCTGTTTCCATAACTTTGTTAGAATTTTCTGCATCCTCTATTTGTGGCACTCTTATGTAAGACCCATCTGCAAATTAGAAAACATTGTGACATAAGATTGTTCTTACATTTCAGAATGTTTCTCATAATAAGAAAATTGTTTCAGGAGAAGAAAACATTGACAGTAAAGCCAAATTTCACTACATTAAGGTGGAACAGATACCTCTGGGGTTTTCTGAATGAATGGAAAAAATATCAACAGTGTCCCTATTTTCTTCAATAAAATTAAATATCTCAGAGCACTCCACTATCTCTTGGGACTTTTGTTTAGGAGTTTCTTCTGGCACCCAATCCACTGGCCTTTCATCTCTTGCACTTCAAATATAATGAGGTGTCAGAATAGAAAGGTCAAAGTTTTCTGAAATTTTATTCTAAAACACAACAAACTGAAGCACATACATAGGTAGAGAAATATAGGGCCAACGTTTATCTTGAGCATAAGCATGAATCAACAGTAATCCATACTGAAGTACTGTCAACAAGGCCTCCCACAGAGTTATCACGTTTGGAGTCCATACCTACATTCAGCTTCACGGTGAATATTCCGCATAAAAAGGACAATGAGGGATTAAACAACAAGCAAACTGAGACAGTTATACAAGATCGTTGCTTATAAGTTAACTTTTGAATACTTTGACTAAATAAATTTATCAAAACTAAGTATGAGTAACAAAGTTATAATTATCCTAACTTGCAGATTTGGATACAAGCTTGTGTTAGATATTCAGCGCCAACTTAGGAGATGCAAACGTAATTATACACAATGGCCATGGAAATGTAAAAACATATCTAAGATACTTTAAAGTGAGAGGTAGCCTCTGAAGTTTTCTTACTCTACTTTTCCCTAAATTCCGCAATAGGTCAATTACAGTTTCTAAGGAGAGAAGGCTTCTTGTGAGAAATGAAGGCTCAAATTATAGTTCTTATACGTCCATAAATGAGTTAATAAAAATTAAAAGGAAGAAAACAGCTCAATTTACGATATTTAAAACAAAAGACTGTTGGAGTACTACCTCCAAAATTATGTATAACCAAAAGTAAGCCCAAAATGACCAAAATAACTCCACTATCCATACTCCTAGATCAGCAATCTTTTTCAATTCTCCTGCTTTTGGAATTACCACACAAACAGCGTGGATGGGGAAGAGGTCAAATGCAGCAGAACCAACGAGTGTTCCAGGTCCCAAACCTGAATATTAAGCACAGTGAGAATTATAGTTATAATAAATGCTCAGAAGTCTAAAGCCCCTCAAGAAATAAAAAGCAATTGAAGCTCAGAATAAGACAAATACTCATACTCCGCATCAAATATTATCCAAAAAGGAAAGAAGAGATCACAACACTCAACTCACTCATTAAACAATTCTTTGCACTTTCCAGCAGTGACAAATCCAAAAATTATTAACTTGCCGAGTTTATCTGTTTTTGCTTCTCGGCACAAATCTATGCCGAGTTCGGAGATTCAACTAGTCAGCAACAATATGTTGTAGTAAAAAATTGTTTTTATGCAAATTGAGAATAGAAAGTCTTGAGGAACAAATTAGTGATAGATTTTTAACATTCATTATCCCTAAAGAGATAAAATATGACAAGATGTCAACTTGTGTTTCTAGGGACAGTAAGTTTGGGACAAGCTTTTCATGCACTCAAATTTTAGTGCTGAAAGCATATCTCTTTTTTTTCTCCTTGCAATTAAACTTTAAAAAACAAATGTTATTTTATTGAAACATTCTTTTTTAAAACATTTGTACCTTTAAGATCTCATTTTTCTATAAGCAAATGAGTGTGCTGTCTAACATAAGCTAAAAAGACCAAATAACTTGACGTCTTTAGACAAATTTTAGACTCAACAAACATATGATATGAAACTTGATTCTAATTCCATCATAAGAAAGATAAAGTTCAAAAATTTTGAAACACTAACCTCCAGCATACAAGTTCCCTAGATTCTGTATAGCATCAATAGTAGCTAACGAAATCTGAGGAAAGCTGGTTCCAAACGCCAACAAGCTAATATCTGCAATCGTATAATTCCAAACTTTTTCATGCGTAACAATTTCAGCTTTCGTAACAGGATCTATCACCACAACCTTCCTTGTGTGTTTTACCACGTTTTCCATAGATTGAAAGAATCGGGCCGTTATAGCCGATAATCCAATAAAACAATAAGCAAGAGCAATAAAATACAAAAATGTCCTAACATTATTCCCAAGATCAGTTTCTCCACTAAAAATAAAGTAGCTTTCACATTTCAGATCATTCCCCAGAATATTGGACAAGAACCCAACCATTTTATGAACTTTTTGGGCAAATCCAAGTGGCAACAGGGTCTCAATCAGTAAAACATTCACACCACCTATATTGCAAATAGAAAATTGATCAAAACAACAAAATCATGGAAAACAATTTCTGAAGTGACAAAATATCTTAGATTATACACATTCAAGTTAAGTCAGTATCAGTTGTAGCAAATTCAGAAAAAGCCAATTACGATTATTATTTTTTTGAAACAATTAAAGTAATTGAACAAATTGTAGCGCGCAATAATTGAACAAATTGAGCTCAGTGATGAATTTGAGATAACCTAAAATATTGTGCAAAGGCAAGTTGTGGTTTCTGATCAAATTGAGGGGGAAGGGATAGAAATCATGAAATTGAATTGAGAGCGCAGAGAGGGAAAAATTGAATCGGAGACTTACCGGCGAAGGTAGTGTTCGCCGGAGGTTACCGGCGGCAATGATGGTATTAATTACTCGATTATTGAAGCGGGAGAGTGGAATTTATGGAACGTGTTTGCATGGTACCCAGTTTCCGTTTCCTTTGTCTCTTCCGTGTGAATCCTAATTTCTCTGAATTTTTTTTATTGAAATTCATTGCATCATTCAATAAAAAAATATCTAAAAACAATTGTATATTTCCCACACATTCTGGATTTTTATATGATGATGAAAGAAAACCATTAGTTTAATGTAATTTTTAAATATAAAGCCATTAGTAAATTACAATGATTGATTTATTTGAATTTCTAGTGATCAATTTTGAATGAAACGAAATAGATTTTTAAATTAACATAAGTAGAGTTTGATTAATTTAATTAAGATTTAATACCAACCTAAAAGATATATTCAAAATAAATGGTTTATTTTAATTTTTAATATATATTTTTATAATTTTATCATCTAACTTTTATAATTTTCGATTAGTTTTTTTTTAAAGGAAAAGAGAGAGAATGGAAGAGAATTCAAATTCTTGTAAAATACTAGTTTCTTTCTTAGAATTTCGGTTTTACGGAAACTGAGAGTAGGGATGCTAAAATATAGTATATTATAAATTAATTTCAATTTTTTATTTATAAAGCTTTTTAGTTTAATTTAAAAAATATTAAAATTTTAGATTTTTCATCAAATTGTTTTTTTCCGTTAGTTTTCTTAAATTTGATATGTTGTATTTATTGTTGTTTTCATTTTTTTAAATCGACATCATATTTTATTTTTTACTTGTTCGACAAATTTATTATTTTTATTATGAGTATATTTTCATTTGTTTTCATATGTTTTATTAGGTTCTTTTTATTATTGTTTTGTTTATTGAATTTTTTTAAATATAATTTATGTATTTGTTATAGTGTGTGGTATCCTTACGCGAGTAAGGAATATTCAGAGGTATTTGTAGTTAAAGGTGATTAGGATTTGCTCACGGTGGTGAGACTTTATACGGTGGTGAAAAAGGATCAACTCACATGAGGTGAGAGACTCTATGTATTTCAACATTATGTTGAGGAAATGATGATTTGTCATTTCTCCCGTTGGGGGAAAGATATTTATAGAGGACCTTTAAGCCTAGGGTTCTGGAAACCCTAGAAGGTGATAAGCGCTCTTCCAAGACTAGAGGAGGCTATTGACTACCAACTTTCTAGGGAGTCGTGGACATGACTTTGTATGTTGTTATGGAATGAGTAAGCGTCGTTGTCCGTGTTTCACCTTAGTGCGAGTTCCTCATAACATAAAGGTTCCTCCTGGGTGACGCCTCGTGAGAACGGGGACCCACGAGTCTCCATTATATGATATTCTCACAAATATATCACTTCACAATCCCTTAAGCACGATGACTTGTAAAGGATGAAGGTTTTTTTAGACATATCTCAAGTTTAGCTTTGTGGCCATGAGTGATTCCCTCATCTAAAGGCGTCTTTTTTTCAATGGGAGGTGAGTCCCTCAATTGAAGGCTTCCTTTTATAATCGAGGCGAGTCCCTCAGCCACATGGGTGAGTCCCTCAACCAAAGGCGTCCTTTTTTAATGGAAGCGAGTCTCTAAGCTAGAGGGGCGAGTCCATCATCTGATAATGTCCCTTTTTAAATAAGGGCGAGTCCCTTCAGCTGAAGACTTCCTTTTATAATCGAGGCGAGTCCCTCAGCCAAAGGGGTGAGTCTCTCAGTCGAACACACCCTTTTTTAATGGGAGGCAGGTCTCTAAGCTATAGGGGCGAGTCCCTAATCCAGCTGCATCCTTTTTTAATAAGGGCGAGTCCCCTCAGTTGAGAGGGGGTGAGTGATCATTTCCTTTCCAGTTGTTTCCTAGGTAGTCAAACATTAGTGGGAGACGTCAAACTTAACTTGATTAACCTTAGAGACATAAAAATGTCAATTAATTACGAAAGCTTGAGTGCTTAGTAGAGAGAGAGAGAGAGAGAGAGAGAGAGAGAGAGAGAGAGAGAGAGAGAGAGAGAGAGAGAGAGAGAGAGAGAGAGAGAACGCGAGTAGCATTTAATGCAACTCATGATGATTTTTCTAGGTAAAACCAATATAACCTCTTTTTCTTGCAAGTGTCCTCTTATGTGTAAGAACCCATCCACTTCCCACGGTAGTTACATCTTTGGGTGGATGTGTTCCTCGTAAAAGAAATTGACACATTGCCTTGGGAAATCTTTTCTATTTTCCTTCGGATTTTCCCTTTTTTGCTTCCTCCGGAAAAAAAAAATATAGACCCAGGAAAACTTTAAGAGAAAAAGTTTGTGGTATTCGTTCTTTCTCCTAGGACATAAATGTTATTATCCCTGCTTTTTCCCATTCCTTTTACCTCAAGCTAATGTCTAAAAAGTACATTAAGCATGTTCACATTCGAGATATTGCATCCTGATACATCGACTCTGATATGATAAGCAAGTTTCGTTAGGGTGTTGGGTTTTCCAATACAGGACGTGAAGAGGATGTGATCCTAAAACCTTAATATAAAAGAGAATTTTCACCACTTAGGAAGCTACTCAAAACAAAACATGCATTTCATGAAAAATTTCAAATTCGTAGCGTAAACTCGAATAATCCTCATGACATCAAATAATAAATCAAAACAACCACTGAACAAAAATAAACTCCAAATGACAACTCAAAACAAATAATGTGCCCCATTATTGATGTTATAGACCATAACAGATAAAATCGACTAAAATATCAATAAATGTAAAATAAATGAAGGAAGCTCCAAAGTCTCCTTCCACTCATAAGTGACTACTCCTACTGAGTATCTATACAACAATTGTACAAAGCCAACAAAACAAACAAGAAAGGGGTGAGAATACACCTTACAAATGATAACGGTGAAATTTAGCAACAAGATGGTAAATATCGATAATAAAAAAATACATCATTCACACAAAACACAATCAAAGCTCAAATAGTGATACAAATGCTTCTTGAGATTAGCCTAAAAAATATCAAAGGAGTGATCACGAGCGTTGAATGATAAACGACACCTCTACTCAGTCCATACAAACATATTCCTTCAGTCTCAATACTAGCTTCTACGATTGAAGGCTTTGGGTGGGAGAGAGAGAGAGAGAGAGAGAGAGAGAGAGAGAGAGAGAGAGAGAGAGAGAGAGAGAGAGAGAGAGAGAGAGAGAGAGAGAGAGAGAGAGAGAGAGAGAGAGAGAGAGATAGATAGGTAGATAGATAGATAGATAGAGAGAGATAGATAGATAGATAGATAGATAGAGATAGATAGATAGATAGATAGATAGATAGATAGATAGATAGATAGAGAGAGAGAGAGAGAGAGAGAGAGAGAGAGAGAGAGAAAAATACGATTAGGATTTCGCAAAACAAATTTTCATCAAGTCTTAATGCTCTTGCACGAGGGTTTTTTTATAGAACCACTTGTGTGGGCTGCAAGCTAAAAAGCCCATTTAAGTGCATGCACACCATATCTTATGGTGTATCGTATATCACTTAAGCGCATGGTACCTTACCACATTCCTTATTCTACTTAACTACACCGTATCTTATGGTGTTCTATATTTACTTAAGTGTACCGTACCTTATAATGTTCCTTATTTACTCTACCTCTTATCAATCTATCCTTATGTGTGTGACCCTGTAGGTCTTCATGAAGTTGACAATTATATTAAATCACACATTTTACCTAATAAACAGTAAGCAGTATCTAGCAACACATCATTGCTACCCAAGTCTCGAAAATGTCATGTGATCTGACAAAACCTTTTGTGATAATACTTGTGTGTACAATTACCCTTTTGCCCTTATGTCTATATTGAACATAAGACATATATCGTGTCATCCTTGTCCAGTTCAATATTTGACCCTTAGACATTTATCCTGTTATGAAGGATGGAAAAATTCCATCTAGGTCGCTCATGCCCCTCAACATGCTTTTTGGAGTATCCATCAACCGTCTTTATGGTCATCCAGTTACGAACAATGTTATATCAGCAATAAAGTACTTGACTCTACATCTAGGGTCCATAGTGGTTTCAGGTTGATGGGTGGTATACACTACTATCACCATGAGAGTAACTTATGACACTTTACATAACATTCTATGTAGTACTCTCATAATGGGTCAATCAAGTATAAATATTACTCCTTGAAATTCTAGTAACAGACAGTCGATGTTATGTCAGATATTATGACATCTGCTACTGAACAGATTAGTAAGCTAAGCAGTAAACACTTAAAGAAAGCAGTAAATAACACACGGAATTGTTTATCCAGTTCGGTGCAAATCACACCTACTCTGGGCGCTACCAAGCCAGGGAGAAAATCCACTATAAGCAGTGTTAATTCAGAGCCAAACTACCAGTTTGCACTCCTCACTTAAGACCCACCCAATGCAATCTCAATCTAACTCTAGACTTGAGTTCCTACTCACTCCCCCTTAATCATAGTAGTGATATCAACCAATTAAGTTACAGATTTAAAAATAAGACACACTTCAAACAAACCTTGATCTTGCTTCACAACTTCAATTAAGAGACACAACACTCGTGTTTAAAAGCTTA